ACTGTATATAGAGGTCGGGGGGGTCACCACACATAGAGTGAATATGTACTGAAAACTCTCTCCACACACACACACACACACACACACACACACACACACACACACACACACACACACACACACGCACACACACACACAGACACACACATACACACACACACACTCTCTCTCTCACACACACACACACACAATCATACACTCGCACACAGACGCACACACACACACACACACACACACACACACACACACACACACACACACACGCAGATGCATAAATAGAGCCGTAGAGAGATGACACTAGACAGACTGCTGCATGGAGAGAGCAGCTGATCCTCCATCAGTGTTTCTCATCTTCTGTTCACATGAGGTGATGAGATGAAGGAGCTCAGCTTTCCACTCTCGCACACACTGAAAACACACACAACACATGCTTGTTGCCCAATGAAAACACACACTCACTCAACACACTGAACACACACACTCGACAGCACATTGAAAATCCTCCTCGTGTTTCCTCTGCTAAGCCCTTCAGGATTGAGGGGGAGATGTGAGGATGGAGGAGCTGAATGAAGTAATCGTGTATTTCCTGCGTTCCCTTTAGCATGACAGAGTAAGTGTGATCTGCTCTTGGTCATTATTGAGACTGGAGGAAGCAGATCTGGAGGACTGACAGTGATGCAGAGCAGAGTAACGTGTGCTGGAGGCTCTTTATACTGCTGTAAATGAGGACGAGTTCAGTGCAGTGAGTGAACCGTGGCCCTCCGCAGAGCCCGATCACTCAGTTTCACAGCTGCAGATGTTCAGTGGTGAAACTGCACACCGCCGGCAGCCATGTTGGATCTCAGAGCCGCTTTCTCACTGTGACAGGCAGAAGTAATCAAACGAGCCGCTCTAATTGGCTGCTCTGAGCCTCCTGACACTCAGCGTCAGTATCAGAGAAGAAACACTCCATCATGAGCCACACACACACACACTATCAACAGGATTCAGCACACACACACACTTCTGTCTGTGTGTGCTCACAGGGCTGTAATAGGGGAGAAATCCAGCCATTTAGCATGTATACACACAAACACACACACAGACAGACAGACACAAAACATGCTAAACACTCATCCATACACTAACTCTCAAACATACACACACAGCACAGTCACACTCCTGGACACACACACACACACACAGAGTGTAATAATAACCCCCCTCCCACACACACACACACACACTCACAACATTGTCAAAATGCAAAATGTGTTGTCTGTGTTTGTGTGAGAGATGATGTCTGCTGTCTGTCTGATCGCTCATCTTTTAATTAACGCTCTCACTGCTGTAAGCTAATGATGGAGCACTTTAATTAGATTATAATTAACTGCTGAGCTTCATCTCTACAAAGACCACCGGAGGGAGACGAGCAGGAGACACTGACACACACACAGACAGACAAAGACACACACTTAACTAATACACACACACATAAGAAAACACAGACAGACACACACACACACACACACACACACACACACACACACACACAACCAATAAAACACACTCACATTTACTAAACACAGACAGACACATGCACTACAACACATGCAACCAGATACACCAAAACACAGAGACACACACTTAGACAAACACGCACACACACACACACATTTTAATTTTTTAGTTTTTGTGTGTACCTCAGAGATTTTGCTCCATATTGTCATGATAGCATCACACAGTTGCTGCAGATTTGTCAGCTGCACATCCATGATGCCAATCTCCCGTTCCACCACATCCCAAAGCTGCTCTATTGGATTGAGCTCTGGTGACTGTGGAGGCCATTTGAGTACAGTGAACTCATCGTCATGTTCATCAGTCTGAGATGATTGAGCTTTATGACATGCTGCGTTATCCTGCTGGAAGTAGCCATCAGAAGATGGAGACACTGTGCTCATAAAGGGATGGACATGGTCAGCAGCAATACTCAGGTAGGCTGTGGCGTTGATGCTCAATTGGTACTAATGGACCCAAAGAAAATCTCCCCCACACCATTACACCACCACCACCAGCCTGAACCGCTGATACAAGGCAGGATGATCCATGCTTTCATGTTGTTGAGCCGAGCATCTGAATGTGTCAGCAGAAATGGAGACTCATCAGAGCAGCAACGTTTCTCCAATCTTCTATTGTCCAGTTTTGGTGAGTCTGTGTGAATTGTAGCCTCAGTTTCCTGTTCTTAGCTGACAGGAGCGGCACCCGGTGTGCTCTTCTGCTGCTGTAGCCCATCCGCCTCAAGGTTGGCCGTGTTGTGTGTTCAGAGATGCTCTTCTGCAGAGCTCGGTTGTAACGAGTGCTTATTTGAGTTACTGTTGCCTTTCTATCAGCTGGAACCAGTCTGGCCATTCTCCTCTGACCTCTGGCCTCATCAACAAGGCATTTGCGCCCACAGAACTGCCGCTCACTGGATATTTCCTCTTTGTCGGAGCATTCTCTGTAAAGCCTAGAGATGGTTGTGCGTGAAAATCCCAGTAGATCAGCAGTTTCTGAAATACTCAGAGCAGCCCGTCTGGCAGCAACAACCATGCCATGTTCAAAGTCTCTTAAATCCCCTTTCTTCCCCATTCTGAAGCTCGCTTTGAACTGCAGCAGATCCTCTTGACCATGTCTACATGCCGAAATGCAGTGAGCTGCTGCCATGTGATTGGCTGATTAGAAATGTGCATTAACGTGCAGTTGAACAGGTGTACCAAATAAAGTGGCCGGTGAGTGTATGTATAGAAATTTTTTAGTCTTATTTCTTATTATTGAGTTTGATTATGGGCGGGGCTTTCTGTTTGATTGACAGTATGTGGGTGAACACAATCATTGTGAGTGAATGTGTGAGTAATTGAGCTCGATCACCACCAGTAAACAAAACTATCTTACACTTTGTCTGTTTAGTGGCTAATTTAGAGGTGTGGCATCAAACCCCACCCCTAAACCTAACTGTCAGTGAGGGAGAAGCTACTCTTAGTAGATTTATTTAGAAGAATTTATATGAATTAACCACACATCAGGAAGTTGTGAATGAGTGTAAGATAGTGCTGGAGGGATCAGAGAATCAGACTCAGTCTGGAAGAATCATGAATGTCAATCTGTTCATTATATGTGACTGACCATGTGTGTGTGTGTGTGTGTCCGTCAGGAGCGCGGGAGGGTCGGCGTGATCTTTAACGTGGGAACGGACGACATCGTGATCGAGGAGAGCGGCGTGATGGTCAGCGATGGGAAATATCATGTGGTCAGATTCACACGCAGCGGTGGAAACGCAACACTACAGGTGGACAATCTGCCCGTGATCGAGCGCTTCCCGGCGGGTGAGGACACACACACACACACACACACACACACTCGCTCTAGCAGGAAGATGTTTTCTGTGCTCAGATGTTATTATGAACACTTACTGTGTTTCCTAGAAGCAGATATACACACTCCAGCTCAGTGTTTATAAGCGCTGACTCGGTTCAAGCTCATTTGATTCAGCTGAATGTTGATTCAGTTCAGTTCAATGTTTATCCAGATCACTGCTGACTGAGGTAATTTAATTTGATTCATCTGAATATTGATTCAGTTAATTTCTTTTGATTCATTTGAGTGTTGATCCAGTTCAATTCAGTTTTGATTCTTTTCAGTGTTCATTCAATTAATTTTATCGTTGATTCAGTTCAATTCCATGCTTTTCCAGTTCAGTGTTGATTCAGTTAATTTCATTTGAGTGTTTATGTAGTTATCTCCAGTGTTGATTCTGTTCAGTGTTGATTCATTTCAGTGTTGATTCAGTTAATGTCAGTGTTGATTCAGTTATCTTCAATGTTGATTAATGTCAGTGTTGATTCTGTTGAGCGTTGATTCATTTCAGTGTTGATTCTGTTAATGTCAGTGTTGATTCAATTAATGTCAGTGTTGATTCAGTTTGGTGTTGATTCATTTCAGTGTTGATTCAGTTCGGGGTTAATTCATTTCAGTGTTGATTCAGTTAATGTAAGTGTTGATTCAGTTAATGTCAGTGTTGATTCAGTTAATGTAAGTGCTGATTCAGTTAATGTCAGTGTTTATTCAGTTAATATAAGTGCTGATTCAGTTAATGTCAGTGTTGATTCAGTTAATGTCAGTGTTGATTCAGTTAATGTAAGTGCTGATTCAGTTAATGTCAGTGTTTATTCAGTTAATATAAGTGCTGATTCAGTTAATGTCAGTGTTGATTCAGTTAATGTCAGTGTTGATTCAGTTAATGTAAGTGCTGATTCAGTTAATGTCAGTGTTGATTCAGTTAATGTAAGTGCTGATTCAGTTAATGTCAGTGTTGATTCAGTTAATGTCAGTGTTGATTCATTTAATGTCAGTGTTGATTCAGTTAATGTAAGTGCTGATTCAGTTAATGTCAGTGTTGATTCAGTTAATGTCAGTGTTGATTCAGTTAATGTAAGTGCTGATTCAGTTAATGTCAGTGTTGATTCAGTTAATGTCAGTGTTGATTCAGTTAATGTCAGTGTTGATTCAGTTAATGTCAGTGTTGATTCAGTTAATGTAAGTGCTGATTCAGTTAATGTTAGTGTTGATTCAGTTAATGTTAGTGTTGATTCAGTTAATGTCAGTGTTGATTCAGTTAATGTCAGTGTTGATTCAGTTAATGTAAGTGCTGATTCAGTTAATGTCAGTGTTGATTTAGTTAATGTAAGTGCTGATTCAGTTAATGTCAGTGTTGATTCAGTTAATGTCAGTGTTGATTCAGTTAATGTCAGTGTTGATTCAGTTAATGTAAGTGTTGATTCAGTTAATGTCAGTGTTGATTCAGTTAATGTCAGTGTTGATTCAGTTAATGTAAGTGCTGATTCAGTTAATGTCAGTGCTGATTCAGTTAATGTAAGTGCTGATTCAGTTAATGTCAGTGTTGATTCAGTTAATGTCAGTGTTGATTCAGTTAATGTAAGTGCTGATTCAGTTAATGTCAGTGTTGATTCAGTTAATGTCAGTGTTGATTCAGTTAATGTCAGTGTTGATTCAGTTAATGTAAGTGTTGATTCAGTTAATGTAAGTGCTGATTCAGTTAATGTCAGTGTTGATTCAGTTAATGTAAGTGTTGATTCAGTTAATGTAAGTGTTGATTCAGTTAATGTCAGTGTTGATTCAGTTAATGTAAGTGCTGATTCAGTTAATGTCAGTGTTGATTCAGTTAATGTCAGTGTTGATTCAGTTAATGTCAGTGCTGATTCAGTTAATGTCAGTGTTGATTCAGTTAATGTAAGTGCTGATTCAGTTAATGTCAGTGTTGATTCAGTTAATGTCAGTGTTGATTCAGTTAATGTAAGTGCTGATTCAGTTAATGTCAGTGTTGATTCAGTTAATGTCAGTGTTGATTCAGTTAATGTCAGTGTTGATTCAGTTAATGTCAGTGTTGATTCAGTTAATGTAAGTGCTGATTCAGTTAATGTCAGTGTTGATTTAGTTAATGTAAGTGCTGATTCAGTTAATGTCAGTGTTGATTCAGTTAATGTCAGTGTTGATTCAGTTAATGTAAGTGCTGATTCAGTTAATGTCAGTGTTGATTCAGTTAATGTAAGTGCTGATTCAGTTAATGTCAGTGTTGATTCAGTTAATGTCAGTGTTGATTCAGTTAATGTAAGTGCTGATTCAGTTAATGTCAGTGTTGATTTAGTTAATGTAAGTGCTGATTCAGTTAATGTCAGTGTTGATTCAGTTAATGTCAATGTTGATTCAGTTAATGTCAGTGTTGATTCAGTTAATGTCAGTGTTGATTTAGTTAATGTAAGTGTTGATTCAGTTAATGTAAGTGCTGATTCAGTTAATGTCAGTGTTGATTCAGTTAATGTCAGTGTTGATTCAGTTAATGTCAGTGTTGATTTAGTTAATGTAAGTGTTGATTCAGTTAATGTCAGTGTTGATTCAGTTAATGTCAGTGTTGATTCAGTTAATGTAAGTGCTGATTCAGTTAATGTCAGTGTTGATTCAGTTAATGTAAGTGCTGATTCAGTTAATGTCAGTGTTGATTCAGTTAATGTCAGTGTTGATTCAGTTAATGTAAGTGCTGATTCAGTTAATGTCAGTGTTGATTTAGTTAATGTAAGTGCTGATTCAGTTAATGTCAGTGTTGATTCAGTTAATGTCAATGTTGATTCAGTTAATGTCAGTGTTGATTCAGTTAATGTCAGTGTTGATTTAGTTAATGTAAGTGTTGATTCAGTTAATGTAAGTGCTGATTCAGTTAATGTCAGTGTTGATTCAGTTAATGTCAGTGTTGATTCAGTTAATGTCAGTGTTGATTTAGTTAATGTAAGTGTTGATTCAGTTAATGTAAGTGCTGATTCAGTTAATGTCAGTGTTGAGATTCAGTTAATGTCAGTGTTGATTCAGTTAATGTCAGTGTTGATTCAGTTAATGTCAATGCTGATTCAGTTCGATTCAGTTCGGTGTTTATTCATTTCGGTGTTGATTCAGTTTGGTGTTGATTCATTTCGGTGTTGATTCAGTTTGGTGTTGATTCATTTCAGTGTTGATTCAGTTAATGTCTTTAGGTTGATTTTAGTGTGTGTTTGTGAGTGTGTGTATTCATCTGTTTGTGTGTGTGCGGGTATGTTCTAAAGGTTCTAAGTATACACACATCTGTGTGTGTGTGTGTGTGTGTTGTCTCTGTGGTGTGTGATGTGGGAGCAGCAGTAGATCAGGCTGGAGAAATATAAATATCCAGTGACCCAGTTAGCGCAGTGTGTGTGTGTGTTTGTGTGTGTGGGTATGTGTGCACTGCTTCTCCTGCTGGAGCAATGGGGTTCTGCAGTCTCAGATGTGTGTGTGCGTGTGTGTGTGTGTGTGTGCGCGTGGCTCACTGAAGCTCCAGTGTTTCATCATTCTGCCTTCACTAATAGACTAATGCTGGAATCAGCTCATGGCGGCGTTACGCTGTTGCCATGGAGACAAACTCCTCTCCGTTTGAACTGTGAGCTGAAAGCCTGTAATTACGGTAATTCTGTTTATGCGCACAGAGTCAGCGTGATTAGACGAGGAGAAACAGCTCACACTACTGCACAGGGCACATCTATTAGTTTAACTGTGTGTGTGTGTGTGTGTGTGTGTGTGTGTGTGTGTGTGTGTGTGTGTGTGTGTGTGTGTACGTGCGTGTGCATGTGTGTGTGTGCGTGTGTGTTTGTAAGTGCATGTGTTATGTTCTCAATGTGTGCAACAACATAACATATGCAAACTTACACACACACACACACACACACATTCTCTCACACACACTTGTAAACTGCTGGTCTGCTGCAGCAGAGCGATGCTGCTGCAGAGGATTGTGGGTAGAGATGCACATGTGGGTTTTGATTAGATCATTTGCAGTCAAGCTGCAGGAGCAATTAAGAGTCAGTCGCTCTTTACCACTGACTTCATTAGAGAGAGAGAGAGAGAGCAGCAGCTAATTAAAAACTGACGAGTCTGACTTCACTGCAACGCCAACTCTCACACAGCAAACTACAGGCAGAGAGATACAGAGAGAGGAGGATGGCAAAATACAGCTGTTGATTAGTGAAATCTCGGTATATGAGATGTAAACCAGAACATAACATGAACATAGCCAGAACACAATCAGAGTATAACTATAACACAGCCAGAACATAATCAGAATATAACTATAACATAGCCAGTACACAATCAAAATATAACTATAACATAGCCAGAATATAAATATAACATAGCCAAAATATAACTATAACATAGCCAGAACATAATCAGAATATAACTATAACAGCCAGAATATAACTATAGCATAGCCAGAACATAATCAGAATATAACTATAACAGCCAGAATATAACTATAGCATAGCCAGAACATAATCAGAATGTAACTAGAACATAGCCAGAATATAACTATAACATAGCCAAAATATAAACTTAACATAGCCAGAACATAATCAGAGTATAACTATAACATAGCCAGAATATAACTATAACATAGCCAGAACATAATCAGAGTATAACTATAACATGACCAGAATATAACTATAAAATAGTCAGAATATAACTATAACATAGCCAGATCATAATCAGAGTATAACTATTACATAGCCAGAATATAACTATAACATAGCCAGAACACAATCAGCATATAACTATAACATAGCCAGAATATAACTATAACATAGCCAGAACATTATCAGAGTATTACTATAACATAGCCAGAATATAACTATAACATAGCCAGAACATTATCAGAGTATAACTATAACATAGCCAGAATATAACTATAACATAGCCAGTACACAATCAAAATATAACTATAACATAGCCAGAATATAAATATAACATAGCCAAAATATAACTATAACATAGCCAGAACATAATCAGAATATAACTATAACAGCCAGAATATAACTATAGCATAGCCAGAACATAATCAGAATATAACTATAACAGCCAGAATATAACTATAGCATAGCCAAAATATAAATATAACATAACCAGAACATAATCAGAGTATAACTATAACATAGCCAGAATATAACTATAACATAGCCAGAATACAACTATAACATAGCCAGATCATAATCAGAGTATAACTATAACATAGCCAGAATATAACTATAACATAGCCAGAATACAACTATAACATAGCCAGAACATAATCAGAGTATAACTATAACATAGCCAGAATATAACTATAACATAGCCAGAACATAATCAGAGTATAACTATAACATAGCCAGAATATAACTATAACATAGCCAGAACATAATCAGAGTATAACTATAACATAGCCAGAACATAACTATAACATAGCCAGAACATAATCAGAGTATAACTATAACATAGCCAGAACATAATCAGAATATATCTAGAACATAGCCAGAATATTATGATAACATAGGCAGAATATAACTATAACATAGCCAGAACATAATCAGAGTATAACTATAACATAGCCAGAACATAATCAGAATATAACTATAACATAGCCAGAATATAACTATAACATAGCCAAAACATAATCAGAGTATAACTATAACATAGCCAGAACATAATCAGAATATATCTAGAACATAGCCAGAATATTATGATAACATAGCCAGAATATAACTATAACATAGCCAGAACATAATCAGAGTATAACTATAACATAGCCAGAACATAATCAGAATATATCTAGAACATAGCCAGAATATAACTAGAACATAGCCAGACCAAACCCTGAACATAGCTAGAACATAACCCTAGGATTCGTGCAAACTAAACAAACTCACATTCTTGTGTGTGTGTGGGTGTGGGTGTGTGTGTGGGTGTTTACTGTCATAATTCCATCAAATAACATTTGATTTGATTTACATTTGTTGTGTTTTCATGTACCTGTAGAGTTTTGGGAAATGCGTTATTCAGCATGTTGTGTCTATTTTCTTCATCTTACAGCATTCTGCAGGAGTAACCCCATGGACAAGAGTTATGTTTGAGGATGAGAACGATCAGTGTGTGTTCTTACTCTGAGCTGAAACTGAAAACATCTTCCTGCCCTCTCTCTCTCTCTCTCTCTCTCTCTCTCTCTCTCTCTCCTTCATTGACTGACATCAACACCTTTCTAATGTCTTTCTCCTGAAGAGCTGCAGTGTTTTGTGTGTCTCCTGCACTCCTGCTGTACTGCAGTTTGTGTGTTTCTAATCTCCAGCCTCTAAACGGACTCATAAATCTGCTTAACTCCTGTTTTAAACCAGAGTTGACTGTCTAACCATTAAACAGAAGCCTCGAGGGTGCTAAATCTGATCGTAAAGTTCATAACCTGCTGGCGCTCTCTCTAACCTTGACCTTTGACCTTCCTGATTGTAACCTGTTGAATCTGTTTGTTCTTCAAGGGAACTTTGATAGTGAGCGGCTGGCTATTGCTAGGCAAAGAATCCCGTATCGACTCGGTCGGGTAGTTGACGAATGGCTACTCGACAAAGGTAATTAAACAGCACTAATGAACTACGCTCTGTCTAATGACGCTAACATAACAGCGCTCTGGAGATAGTGCAGGCCCAAAGACGCAGAAACTAAACCCGCTACATTCAACCCTGCTCAGTTTGAGCTCATATAGATACATTTATGTGGACATATATGGCCTCATTCTGATGACTGATAGACAACAAATACAACATATACAGATTCAATACATACACTTGAAGATCAAATCATTAAAATGACATATGTGCAGTTTATTAAAATAATATATGCAGTTTATTAAAATAGTATATGCAGTAAAATTATTAAAATAATTTAATAAATGCAGTATATTAAAATAACATATGCAATATAATTAAAATTAATATATGCATTTTGTTAAAATAATGTAATATATACAGTTTATTAAATTATTATATCATACACAGTTTATAAAATAATATATGCAGTTTATTAAAATAGTATATGCAGTAAAATTATTAAAATAATTTAATAAAAGCAGTATATTAAAATAATATATGCAATATAATAAAAAATAATATATGCATTTTATTAAAATAATGTAATATATACAGTTTATTAAATTATTATATGCAGTAAAATTATAAAATAATGTAATATATGCAGTATATTAAAATAATATATGCAGTGTAATTAAAAATAATATATACATTTTATTAAAATAATGTAATACAATGTAACAGTTTATTAAATTATTATATCATACGAAGTTTATAAAATAATATATGCAGTTTTTATTCTTATATGCAGTTTATTAAATAATATATGCAGAAAAATTATTAAAATAATTTAATATATGTAGTATATAAAAATAATATCTGCAATATAATTAAAATAATATATGCAGTTTATTGAAATAATAAATGCAGTTTAATAAATTATTATAATATATGCAGTTTGTTAAAATAATATATGCAGTTTAATAAAATAATTTATGCATTATATTTTAATAAATAGTATATGCAGTTTATTAAAATTATATAATATATGCAGTCAATTAATAAAATAATATATACTGTAAAATATTTTTTAAAAATGTATTCGGTTTATTATATTAATGTATGAAGTTGAAGATAAAGTTGTTTAAAGTTATGCAAATTTTAACTGGTTTAATTTGCAACACTTGTTTTTTTTTCATCTTAAATATTCAATAAGCAGCACAAAACTATGATTTATTACTGTGACTTAAATTGCATTTAAAGGGGCAGTTCACCCAAAAATTAACATACCTCATCAGTTACTCTCACTCAGGTGACTGTAAACTTTTATGAGTTTCTATCTTCTGTCGAACACAAATAAGATAATCTGAAGAATGCTGGAGGAACAGACATTGACATCCATAATAGAAAAAAAAACACTGAAAATCAATCACTGGAAATCATTGGGCTTCATTTTAATGATCTAGGTATGAAGTCTAGGCTCATGGTGCACAAGCATTAAGAGTGTGTCTGAATCCACTTTTGCTCATTTAAGGATGATAAGATAATCACTAGAGAGAAAACAGTTAAACAGAGCATCTGCAGCGCAAGGATAAAGAACGAGCCTCCTCCATTCAGCCTCTTTACTTTACTCCTTTACTTTACTCCTTTACTTTGGTGGAGTGAGGAAACTGTGGAAACTCACTCCACTGAACACATCCATCAGCCCATATATTTAATCTCCTTTGTTAAGAGCAGAGATTTGTGTCTAAACTATTTCTAGATTGAGCTCTGATCTCCAGCAGAGGAATAAATGAACAATAATAATGAAGTGTGCTCAGTAGACTGAGTTATATCCAAACACACGTCCTGTTCTTATCCACATATGCTGATGCAGACGCCTCCAAAACCCCACAGCTGGACACATCTACACTTGTGTTTATTAAAGTCAATAATACTGCTAATAATAATAACATTACGCAGATGCAGATCATCATCAATAAACTGAAGAAGCCCTCAATTCCTCATCTCCTTTAATCATTACAGGATGTGTGTTGCTGATCATCCTGTGTGTGTTCAGCAGTGTGTGAGTGTTTAGAGCTGCATAGACACATAACTAACGCGCTCTGCTGAACTTTAGAGCAGCTTTTAGTTGGTCAATGGCGTCGTCTATTTCAGCTCCTCAAAACAGCAGTGCTCCAACATTGTGCCTTAACACACCTCCTCTACAGACCAGCACACGCATGAGTCCACAGAGTGACACAGATGGATTTACTATTTAAACAAGGTGGAGCAAAACAAGAATATGACTAGTGCACTGGTCTGAAAATAGCAACACATCACACCAAACACGTCTTGCACCTTACTGCGCCAGGTGTATGATAGAGCCCTGTGTCTGTTTCTCCAGCATTCTTCACAGTATCTTCCTCTGTGTTCAACAGAGGAACCACATGACAGCAGAATCTTCATATTGTTGGGTGTATTGTCCCTTTAAGACTCGCTTAACCTGAAGAAAGAGTCAGCCATTTTGTATATGCAGTGTGTGTAAGCAGCCATCATCTGCTCTGTGTGTGCACACACACTGATATCAGTCAGCCGCAGACATGAGCTTGTGTGATTTGCATAGATGACCATATTTGGGTGTTGTGAATTTGAATTAATGTCGAGGCGTGTGACGGACTGCACTTCTCCAGAGCTTTAACCTGAGCTTATAACCCTTCATAACCTCCCTGTGTGCTGATCGACCTCAGTTAAAGGGACTCTATCTCAGTGCTTGACCACCGCTAAATTCACCACGCTAACCCCTCTGAGCAGACGCTTCCTGCTAGATGCTACATCACTTCCTGTGCGGTATTAGTTCTACTTCCTGTTAGACGCTAATTCACTTCAGTTTCTATTAGTCAATAGTGAATGTCCTGTAACATTCTAGTTCATTTCTTCTTAGCTGCTAGTTCACCTCCTATTAGCTGCTAATTCAATTCCTGTTAGCCACTAGTTCCCTTCCCCACTAGTTAATTTCCTGATAGCCATTAGTTCATATCCTGTTAGCTTCTAGTACGCTTACTGTTTCATTTCCTGTTAGATGCTAGTTCACTTGTTGGTTACTAGTTCACTTCCTATTAGCTGCTAATTCACTTCTTGTTAGCCACTAGTTTCCTACCTATATTCCTACCTATTGCTAATTTTCTTCCTGTAAGCTACTAGTTTATTTCCTATTAGCTGTTAATTCACTTCCTGTTAGCCGCTAGTTTACTTCCCATTAGCTGCTTATTCATTTCCTGTCGGCCACTAGTTCACTTCCTATTAGCTGCTAATTTACTTCCTGTTAGCCACTAGTTCACTTCCTATTAGCTGCTAATTCACTTCCTATTATCCACTAGTTCACTTCCTATTAGCTGCTAATTGCTATTATCCACTAGTTTACTTCCCATTAGCTGCTTATTCATTTCCTGTAGCCACTTGTTCACTTCCTATTAGCTGCTAATGCACTTCGTGTTAGCTGCTAGTTCACATCCTAATAGCTGCTACTTTATTTCCCGTTAGCCACTAGTTCACTTCCTATTAGCTGCTAATCCATTTTCTGTTAGCCACTAGTTTACTTCCTATTAGTTGCTAATTTACTTCCTGTTAGCCATCAGTTCACTTCCTATTAGCTGCTAATCCATTTCCTGTTATCCACTAGTTTACTTCCTATTAGCTGCTAATTCACTTCTTATTATCCACTTGTTCACTTCCTAATAGCTGCTAATTCCTGTTAGCCACTAGTTCACTTCCTGTTAGCTGCTACTTTATTTCCCGTTAGCCACTAGTTCACTTCCTATTAGCTGCTAGTTAATTTCTTGTTAGCCACTAGTTTACTTCATATTAGCAGCAAATTCACTTCCCATTAGCCACTATTTCACTTCCTATTTGGTGCTTATTCACTTCATGTTAGCCACTATTTTACTTCCTATTAGCTGATAATTAACTTCCTGTTAACCACTATTTCACTTACTGATAGTGGCTTGCTCACCTCACCAATAGTTCACTTCCTGTTAGCCTCTAGTTCACTTATTATTAACCGCTAGTGAATTTCCTGTTACATTCTAAGTCACTTATTCTTAGCTTCTAGTTCACTTTCTATTAGCTGCTAATTCATTTCCTGTTAGCCACTAGATCACTTCCCCACTAGTTAATTTCCTGAAAGCCATTAGTTCATATTCTGTTAGCTTCTAGTACACTGTCTGTTAGCCTCTATTTTATTTCCAGTTAAATGCTAATTCACTTCTTGTTAGCAGGTAGTTCACTTACTATGAGTAAGTTTCCTGTTAGATAGTAGTTTAGCTCTTCTTAGCTGCTAGTTTACTTCCTGTTAGCCACTAGTTCAAATTCTATTAGTTGCTAATTCACTTCCCGTTAGCCGCTAGTTTTCAGAGTGCGTGTGCAGATTGTCATCATGAATGTTATCAGAAGAGTTATTGATCCTGTATTGACCCCGGGGGGTGTGTCTGCTCTAAGGGTTAACGGAGGATTTACTGACAGGAAAACAAACGCAGAAGTGAGCTAACCTTCGCCTCAACGCTCCGCTAAACCCTGAGGGCTGATGCTCTCTTCACCAAGCTGAAGCCCTCAGTCATAAACCTGTTTCTAAATGCACATAACTGAACCCAGATCAGACCAATACTGCGCATTAACCATTAAACAGCGCCGAACTAACCCACGCTCCAACCAATCGCAGAGGCTCGATTCTGTGCCTGGAGATTCTGCTGAGCGAATCAAACCCATTGAAGGAGTTGTTTTGGATCGTCTGCGGAGAGAATAAGGTCCCTTTAACATCTGGATGTCTGAGAGTATATGATTCAGTGTGTGAACCCTCATCTGTCTGTCTGTCTGTCCTTTTCACACTGTGTGCCGTGAGATGTAAAGCTACATGACGTAAACCTGGATCCGTGATTCATCATTCTGCTCTAATTCTGAATCATCAGTAGCAGGGAAGTGAATCTTCAGAGTTCACAATAAAATTAATTCATTAAAATTGCCGAAAGTGAATCAGTGGCGTTTCCGTCCAGACATTAGAGTGGCCG